TACCTTTATGTGAATCGGCTTGCTGTAATTTAATTTTTACATTTTTCGATCTTTTTGGTCACGCTGTGATGACGTCACATACGCGCTTTCGTCGACCGTGATTTTGTCGTTCGCGGTTTTGTGGTGGAACCGTATTTGTGATCCTACAGTTTAGTTTTGTCATACACGGATGCGAATATCAAAGGCTACCAAGTCATTGAATTATATTTGCCTACACATATGCTCCTGATCACTGAATAACACTGAATAAAAACTGAGGGCAGTTTTGTGCCTGGTGAGGAAATTTAGCTCACTGTGAGAATTATATTTTGTCCCACCTTCCTGCTCTTGGAGGAGGGAATAACACTGTAAGAGGACCTCAGAGAGCACTTGAATGCCCTGTGCCCGCACTTGAGAATCTTCATTCTTTAGAGGAGTTCTATATTAGAAAGAAAAAAAAAACAGAAGAAATGTTTAAGAATCATGCAAGTAAAGAGAAAAATACTGTATTACCAGGAAGGAGTTGGAGTGAGATTTCTCTTACTTGCTCAATCACAATTTAAATTATATTGCATCAGAAATTGCTCTGAAAAATTATCGTTAACATATGCATATATTTTTTGGAACCTCCAAATTCCCATTCTTTTTTTTATTCTTTTGAGGTATGAAATGTTCTTTGAGATATCCTTATTACATTCTTTGACTAATTCAGAGTATTTCTGGGGCCCACCCAAAAGTAGGGTGGGGCGCTGGGCTTGTCAGCTGGAAAGCCAGCCAAAAAACGGGGGATGCTCCCATCCTCGTCTCAACTCCTGCCAACCTAGCAGTTCGAAAGCATGCAAATGCAAGTAGATAAATAGGTACCACTTGGTGGGAACGTAACAGTGCTCCGTGATGTCATGCTGATCACATGATCACCGAAATGCCTTCAGACAGCGCTGGCTCAATGGCCTTGAAACCGAGATAAACATTGCCCCTATAATTGGCAACAACTAGGGGAGTAAAATCTGCAGGGACTCTTTACCTTTACCCCAAAGTGGTTAACTAATTAAGTTTCCAATTCCTTCCCTTTTATTTGGCTGCGGACAAATATTATGCTGGTTTAATAGTCAGCTACTGTTTCTTTCTCCTAAGGCGCACTAGAGTAATTGAGCCCATAGGCTGGAAAGTTGGAACTCTCAAACTCCTCCTACCAGAAGCCCTTTGGACTTTCTGCTTTGAGGTAGCAGTTTGGTAATTTCTGTTGACACCATTCATCTTTTTGGGGCATCTCAGCTGCTGTTATCCCTTTACCCTAAATGAAAATAACTTCAATCCCTCCCAGCAATGTAGTATAGAAGTATATGAAGAGCAGAGTCATGTCTTTCTCTCTCAAATTTTTTTAAAAAGAAGACAAATATAAAATTGCATTTTTACATTGCACCTTAAAATGCATACATTCATTGTTGTAGAAAAGGATTTACACAATTGTCTTGTTCAGGTTCAGTAACTGAACTAAAAAGCTACAAGACAATGCAAAATGAAACTTTCAGGGAAATCACAAGATGGTGCTGATCTGCTACAAAATAGGAATTTATTGGCAGAATCTCAAAAATAAATGCTGCAGGGAGTTCAATTTATTGCAGCTCATAATATTATACATACAAATATCTTCATGCTCAGCCTGAAGGCTGAAATTATGGAGAATTCATAACTTACACAGAAAAATGATAAATTTAAAAAACCACAATTAGCTGTGAACACTACCCAGAATAAAAATAAAGGAACAACTTAAAGAAAATGCTGGCTCAGATGTGTATCCATTAAAAAAAGAACAAAATAACCTTTTTTTTCTTAAAGTATTTATTCCCTACTTCTTTTATCTGAAAATTCTAACTTTAATCTTACGGTCTGAGAGAATAATGCTATAATAATCCTCCTTCTCTTTAACATTGGCTCAGAAACAACTATGTCAATTCCCTTGTCATGTTTTGTCTCAGATTTAAAGAATTGACATTTTCTGCTCCCAGAATAGAGAGATTTCTGTGTGACAAAATGTATGACAAATAACTGTGTTAAACAGGATTTTAAAATATTTTTGTATAGTCAGAATCCAGTCCAACCTCAATCTCGGAGTTTTAGAAGTTTCATAATTATATATTCTTCTTCCCCCTAAGAAATTACATTAGTTAGCATGATCAAATTCTATGCCATTACATTGTTTTCCTTATATATACTCTCTACAGTTTTCGTGTGTGCTAAGTTTAGATAAGAACAGTAATTGCATATTTGTTATAAAAGTAATCCTATGAAGTTAGAGTAATTATTTTTAGGCATCTGGAGCAGAATAGAAGACAGTTTTCAGACTGATATACAATGAGTACACTTTGTAGAATTTCCAAAAAATTCCATGTACCACATAATAGCACTCACAGGTGATAATATGAAAAAAAGTAAAGGATATGCCACTAAATACACCTCTGTGTCTCATTCAGAAATGAAGAAATATCTATGAGAGCCTACCTTTTCCAAATAATGCAGAAAAGACAAAAATCATTTCTATTAATGAAAAGACAAGGGTATCACATAAAGCAGAGTTCCCCAATCTTTTTGGCTTTGCAGACCAGGGGCAGGGGAAGAGGGGATGGCTTCCCACGCACATGGGGAAGGTCAAGCAGCAGGCACACACCCCTGCCACTCACACAATAGGGATTGCACACGCATCCACGCTCGCCACTTCCATGGCCCGGTTCTTAGAGGCTCAAGGCCCTGACATATTTAAAAACCAGAAACTAGCCATTCAATAAGGATAACCTTATGAAATATATTTATCATTAACAGTTCTCATAAAGAAAATGCATTTTAAATAGACTAAACACACTGTATCTGTGAGATTTGGCCAAATACATTCCAGCAAGTCATGATCAAGTCATTTAGAGTGAGCTGGCTTTTGACAACAAATATAGAGCGGTCTTAAGAGGCACACTCAGTATGAGATGTGTGTCAGTCCATCAGCCAAATCTTCCAATAATTTTTACACTTGAATTCAACTGCAGAATACAGTTAAATACAAATGCAGAATAATCTTCCCTCCATCTTCTTCCCCACCCCCACATCCACTTGTCCTTTATTCAACCTTAAAATCACAATCCTTTTAGTTCTACTACAACTAGTTCTTTACTACAGAATGTATATATACAAAGAGATTATTATATCTAATCTCGTTGTGCATATTACATGAATTAAATCTTGTGAAGATTTATGCATCCTTCATACTCCCTTAGTTTGGTTAGCATAGCATACACTAATGGTAAAAAAAGACTGCAGAAGAAATTGAAAGGAAAATTACAATATGAAATTAAAAACAAGTTAATGATTTAAATACAAAAGAAAATGGGCAATGTTGACTTTTTTGTTATGGTTATCCTTAGAGCTACTTCTGATTCAAACACACATGTTACTGGTCAACATTCAGTAACTTCATTTAATCAGACACCTTAAAATGCCTTAGATGCCTTAAAATTTTAGTAAAATATTAATATCCTTCTTTATGTTTCTTCATTGCTCCAATAGTACACAGTCATGCTGGACATCAGAAGATGTACTATGTAGAACAGAGATTGTTGCAATGATCTACTTACCCCAAGATTTCTACAACATCTAAAATGGAGCATGTTCCAGTCTTCACTCCTAAAAGAAAAAGTTATTGAAATTGTTAATTTCTAGTTCAATTTTTACACAGGGAAAAATGGGATATATGTACTTTAAATCCCAAGGTTAACTTGTCACTCAGTGCTTGTTCAATTAACAATTAAGACACTACGTCTCATGAAGCATAGTCTGTCTTACTGGTCCAATTCCCATATGTTTAACTGGGACATGCAAAAAGACAGGCAGGTTATACTATCTCTCTCCTGCATAAATATTCCACTTAATTAATCAAGATGGGCTTAGATTTTGCACCCTACTAACTCAATCTTGCTTTGAGTTAACCTAACTTGTCTTATATCTGTAAACTAACTATTAGGACAAACTCGCAGCCCGCAGACTGGATGTGTCACACACTGGCCATGCCCATCTCGTTTTAGCAAAGGGGGGGGGGAGTTGCGATGTGTCACGTGACAACGTGACAATGCGAGACACTCTTGTACTAGGGAATCAATGACTTGCTAGGGTTATATGTCATTGACATTCAAAGATGAGTCAGGTGACTATAGGAGACAAAAAATGGATCATTCTGGTTGTGGGATTATACCCTTATACCCAAGCTTATATGCTAAGCATGTAGGTTTTTCCTAAGAGATGCACCTTTCTATGCTTTTAGCTTCTTTTCTGTGCTGAGCATAAAGAAGAGAGAAAGAATCTCACATCACCTTCTCTGTACAATTCCTGACCAGGACCCAGATTGTTAGGGGCAATATGCTGACTCTGTAAACTGCCTAGAGAGGGCTGTAAAGCACTATGAAGCAGTATATAAATCTAAATGCTACGCTATCGAGGATTACACTAATGCATAACACAAAACTAATTCTTATTTTTTGCAATAATGCATTACCTCAGGTAAAAGCAATCACTATAATGTATTTTATATCATTTGACACTAGAAAGAATCCAGGGATATCTCCAAAATGCTTTCAAGCCACCAAGATTAACTATTGTATATTGCTAAACATACTGTCAGTTCAGCAGCACAAAACAAAACTGTCTTTGCAGAAATCATTTAACAGTAACAAGAACCAAATAGATGAATATATTGGTATATAGTACTGTATATATTCCCCCCTATCTTTATGTGGCCAGATTGTAAGAATAAACTACACAGTTTGGCATTTTCAGTCTATATGTATGATCTGAGAAATCATGCATAGTCTGAGAAACCATGCACACCATTAAGACGTTAACAAACCAATTAGGTACTTATATTGCCTCTTTAAAAACATATTAAACAAGATTTACAGAAGCAATGATGATAGTAAACCGAAACATCAGCAATTCTTATAATGGACAAAGTTCACTAAATTTCTTCAGCTTTTCATCTAGGATGAAAAAATATTATAATACTAAAAGTATTATATATTTATAAAATTGAATATTTTAAGGAAAGCATTGCCTAGCACTTCTCTTAATTAAATGTGACATTTTCATGACAATATATTTTATTGTATACAGTAGGTACAAAAAGGGCAGAAAGAAAAAAAATTACATTTTCTAATTAGCCAAGTTCAAAACAGTTCCTCTAATAAATATCCTTAACTCTTTCATTCCCAGAAGATCATATATCCGAATGTATTATTGTGCTTCTATAATGTTAGTAATAATAGAAGGGCTTGGCTTTCAGCTTCTCATGAAATACGGAGTTAAGTCACAGCACCAGTACTTTAGAATTAGACTTGAAAATTCACTATGAAGCCTATTTTGTAATGGTTATACAGGTTAGCATTTCAGGCAAAAGGAAGATTGGAACTTAGGCCTGCAGTATAATTATTTTTACAATCAATATATGCTTGTTATCTTTGTGCCATGACTTGTTTATAGTATATTTGAGCCATAGGGCTTCAAATGTAAAATCAGAAAATATATATATATATTGATACCCAAAAAGTCAGAGTATCCACAATATTTACTGCGTTATCTTACTATCTTACTCTTCATGAATTGGAAAGCTAATTATCCACCGATACAGTCACTTTAGTAAATAAAAAGTGAGATCAAATAACTGCTTGTAAATTGAAGGAATAACCAAGTTAATGTTAGAACATCATAGTACCTATATAACCTGATCTAGGGTTTACCCATAAAATGACTGGTTACTATAAATGGCTGGGCAGCTACGAAAACTATTCTTCTAAGAGCCAAGGTGGCGCAGTGGTTAAATGCAGCACTGCAGGCTACTTCAGCTGACTGCTAGTTCAGCTGTTCAAATCCCACCAGCTCAGGGTTGACTCAGCCTTCCATCCTTCCGTGGTGGGTAAAATGAGGACCCAGATTGTTGGGGGCAATATGCTGACTCTCTGTAAACCGCTTAGAGAGGGCTGAAAGCCCTATGAAGCAATATATAAGTCTACTGCTATTGCTATTCCAGCCTTACCTAAACAATAAAATACACAGTAGACTGCATCTGTCCACTTGNACCAAAACTGAATGCAGTATTCCAAGTGTGGCCTTACCAAGTGTCACATAAGGACATCATTTAAAAAAATAGAATGTAAAGAAAGAAGCAACTAAGAATGTTTATAGAAAAAACTGATTGGAATTAACATTTAATGTAGTATCTACCATAATAAGTCAAGACATTTAATGTAGTATCTAATTAGTTATATATATAACACATTGACAAGACCACAGAGACCATTCTTTCTATAATAACAGTATCAGTGAATCAGAACATGATTTCAACTTGAAAAGTATAGGATTATAAAGATTCTTTAGCAGAATGTGACATATTTAGTCTATGACACCAAAGGAAAGGCTCTAGCTACGTATTAATGTTGAGTCACTGCAGGCCTAAGATGCTACACAGTATAACCAGTACAATAATAATGACTGTTGGAAAGAATGTTGAATCATATGTTCAGAATGTAAAGGACTTCCATGCTCACCTGAACGTGAACTTCCTGGAAGATAGCTTTGAGAACAGACACTGCCAATCCTGGAGCTAACACTATACATTTGCTCTAGAAAAAAAAAATGATAAATGTCCATCTGCATTAAGAGATGGCTATCTGCAGTAGCTTCCATGAATAGAATCAGAATCTCAGCACAGTAGATTTAATTCAAATCATGGTTATGTCATTCATCTCTGTTAGGAAGATTCTACTATTTATTTTTATAGAAAAGGTGTACATATTTTAACTAATAATTTTACAAAGATAAAAAACTAATATCAACTAAGGAAAACAGAAAAAAAAATCAAAGTCCAGAGAAAAGGAAAATAGGGGGGAGGGGGGGGGAATACAGAAACACACCAAAATATTGCCACTGTCATTTAGATCCTGGAAAGTTTACAAAACGAATTACATATGTATCACTGATAGTAAATTCTCACCAGAGCATTCAGTCCCTGCAGCACAGAAGGAATGACAAGGTGATTGTCTTTTAGACGGTTCTCGTAGAATAAGACAAGGTGGGTCACTGGAATAAAAAGCATTAATATTACTATAATTAACAATAAAAAGCATTATTAGTCACTACCCTATATTAGTCAGCAAGTTTTCAAATCACACATTAGAAATTAAATGCAACGAAGTGATATCTTGGTTAGGCTTGGAATTACAGGACAAAAATGGGTAATAAAGAAGAATCACAGATTTCTTTATGAGTTAAGACTCGTCTTCCCTTAGGTAGTCCCCAATTCACTGAAACATTTGTTGATGATAAATCTAGAGTTCCTATAACAAGAAAAAACTCCAGAAGGCAAACTGCACATAACCAGCCACTTATCACAAAGCACACCTCTCAGTACAGAACCATGTTCCAATCATTTGTTCTTAGCATGGCAAACACTGGAAGGAATGTTTTCTTGAGACAGCTGTAAGCCACATTAAGAAGTGCGGGCCTTGAGAAAATACTCAGGGATGAGCACTATCAGGGATGATGTGAATTTATGGATATATTATATCTTTGCAAATAAAATCAAATATCCCCAAATTCAAAATGGATTCTCAATCCAGGAACAGCCAAACAATTCAATCATTCCCTCTTCCTTTTGTGTCACTATTGGTACAGGTCGCTCCCTGTTAAATTTACAAATTATTCACCTCACTCTTTTACTAGGAGCATGCAATGCTTCAAATTTCCAGGCAAAAAGATGTAGGCAAGTGTACAAACTACTATACATTTTTTTTCAGGAATTGTGCAGCAGCCTATAGTAACTATCACACAATAGGGCTCTGCTCTCACTCCAAAGTATCTTTTTGCCTTCAAATCCAAAAAGTTGCATAGTCTACCCTTTGGCTGAACATATGAGACATTGTTTAATATTAAGATGCTTCTCATCTTCTCCAAATAAACATAATTGTCACATATGCACTAGTTCAGTGTTTCTCAACCTTGGCAACTTGAAGATGCCTGGACTTCAACTCCCAGAATTCCCCAGCCAGCGAATGCTGGCTGGGGAATTCTGG